GACCTGGTTGGAGTATGTGCCCCAGTCAGAACCAATGAGACTCCATGACACTTTTGATGGGATGACTGGGGCAAAGGCTCCTGACCAGGAGCAGAGAGGATGTGCTACCTGCAGCTACTGCAGATGTCTCGTGGCCAGAATTCGAGAACTTGCCTCAGAATGGAGCCAACATACAGGAAATGACCTCAGAGGTGAATTGAGTCATCAAGAATCAGGACCCCTTGATCCAGCTGCACCTGAAAGCTGCACATTTTAGTGAAATGAGCCAGTAAGTTCCCTTTTGGTTTCAGCCAGAGATTAGTCTTTCAGTTGAAACTGAAAGCGTCTTCACAGATACATTGCTGTGTGCCCTGAAAATGCTATAACGATGGTCTGTACGAAGTGCCGTGGGAACAGAGAGGAGGCAGCTACAATTATGCACCTGGAATGGTGTGGAGGGAGTGTCCAGGGAAGGCTTCACGGAGGAGGGGCCGCTTGAAGTGGACTTCAAAGGATGAAGAGCACTTCACCCTGTTGAAAAGAAAGGAGAGGCCATTCCAAAACTTTTCAAAACACTTGAGTGGGGAAACCAAGAAAGACACTCCTACATCACCCAAGGGACAAGGAGAAAATCACGTTGGAAAAATTAGAAAACATTTTGAACTGAATATATGAAAAGTACACAGCAAAACTCATGGGCTGCAGCTAAAATGATACGTAGATGAAAATTTGTAGCCTTAAAATTTGTAAATCAGAAAAGAAGAAAAGCTAAAAACGAACGTTCTGAACATCCTTCTCAAAAAGTTAGAAAAAGAGCAGCAAAATAAACACAGAAGAAAGTAAAAGAAGGAAAATCATCCTGATAAGAACAGATTGAAAGAGGAAGGAAGTGTCCCCTGCAGAGGGTCAACACGGCCCCACGTTGGTGGTTGGTAAGCCAGGGACACAGGGGTGTGGCTGCTCTGCCTGTTCGGGGAATGAGGGCCCTGGTGTGGGCGGGCTGGGCAGAGGAGGCCACGAGAGCAAGAGGGAAGTGGGGAGACCACAGCCTGGAGGGGAGGATGGTGCCCAGGACCCCACCCATGGGCGGAGGGAGCCATGAGAGGTTCTCAGTAGGGTAGTGGGCTGGGAACAGGCCGGGCCCTTGGAGACCGTCTGCAGACGAGGGGCCGGGGCCCAGATGCCTGGGCTGATTGAAAAGGAGAAGAAAAGCCACAAGGAAGCCAAGTTCAGTTTTCCAGGAACCAGCCTCTGTCATGGGGCCGGCGGCCAGCACAGCTGCCGGCTGCCCACGGCCACCCCGGCACCGGCTCACTTCCCTTTCAGGAAGGGGCTACTGAAGGTGGTCTCTGAGAAGGCCCTAGAAGGCTGGGAGGAGGCTGTGGAGGTACGTTGCTTTAGAGCTGTGAGCCGGGTTCCTCATCCTCGGCACTGTTGACATTTGGGCTGGATCATCCTCTGCTGCAGGCCTGTCCCCTGCCTGGCGGGATGTTGAGCTGCATCCCGGCCTCTACGCACCAGATGCCAGCAGCACCTCTTCCTGCCCCGAGCCACAGCATCCCTCCCCCGGACCCTACAGCCGACTTCTGTTTGGTTTTCCCTCTTCTACCTTCGGGCCTCCTCTGCCAAAAGCATCCCGTTCTCCTTCCTGCAGCCAGGGTGGTCATTTTAAAACAGCAATCAGATCACATCACCTCCATGTTCTGAGCCCATCGAAGCCTTCCCATCATCTGTAGAATAAATCCAGTGTCCTCCCTGTGGCCAGCAAGGCCCTCCATGCTGGGCCCCCCACTCAGAATTCATCTCCTTCTTGCCCCCTTGCTCTCCGCCCCAGGCACGCTGGCCTCCCTGTGGCTTCTCTCTCACACCGTCCCCTCCTCAGGGCCTTTGCACCGGCTCTTCCCTCCTCCTGGGAGGCTCCCCGTTCCCCACCCCTCCAGATATCTGCATGGCTCCTTCCCTTACTTCACGCAAAGCTGAGTTCAAAACGTCCCCTGCTCAGCGAGGCCCGGCCTGCTCTCCTGCAACCGCTGTCCCCTCCGTCCCTCGCCCACCCTGCCTGTTCTGCACAGCACTCAATGCTGCCCGACACTGTGCTGGGGTTGCGTGCACATCTCTAGACGCTCAGCTTCCCTGGGGCTGGGGTGCGTCTGTTCTGTTCCCTGCAGAGCCCCAGCCCTGGGGCAGCGCCGGGCACCCAGTGAGCGCTCACCAACTGCTGTTGAGTGACTGGATGGCCAGCTCAATCCCTCCTCTCCACAGTCAGCCCCACCGCGCCCCCCAACCCCACTCAGGAGACAGTCTCCCCGTTAGCACGACTCAGGCCAGCCCACACAGGACAAGGCCCTTTCAGTCTCAAACGCCACGTGCGGCCCACGCGGCTCTGCTTCTCCATCCTGCTTCGCGTCCCCCTTCACCCCCTCGTGTTACGTGCTCCCGCCAGCTCAGGCTGTTTCCTCCAGGCCTTTGCATGTGCTGTGCCCTCCTCCTGGGGCACTCTTTCCCCTGCCCTCTCCTGGAACACTAGTTCTGGCCCTTCCGAGTTTGGTGGAGCTGTCACCTCCTACAGGAAGTTCTCCCTGATGCCCCAAATCTGGGCGAGCTGTGCCTCCCCTGGGCCCATGCTTCCACATCCCGTCACAACCACGCTGCATTCCTGGTGTTTGTATACTGACCTCGAGCTCCACGAGGGCAGGGACCCATCTGGTAGCCCCCAGGCCCTACAGCAGTGCTGGGACTCAAGGAATGGGACTTGAGTGAACACGTGGATGAACGAACACTCTGAATTAGCCTGCGTGGTCACTTCTGTCTGTCCTCCAGCCCCTCCCGGGGCCTGGGCAGGAATGACGGGAGGCCCTCGTCCTCCTCAGTCCCCCTGGTAGGCGCCAGTCTCCTCAGACTCTTCCGAGGCACGACGTTTCCTTCCTTTCAGACTCCTCAAAGGCACCTGGCTCTTCTAGTCCTATGGGCATTTGTGGAAGAATCTGGCTTAATGGGCCTCTGATGCGCACACCCAGAACCACCCCCAGATGGACTCACCATGGGCACATCCTGGGAGTGAGCCCCTCACCCCTGGTCTCATTTCTGCATCCCCCCCAACCCTCCCCACCCCCACCCCCACCCTCCCAGGGCCCAGGGAGCTGGCCTGGCAAACAATGACCTCTCCAGGTGGGAGGGTGGAGTCAGGCGACCCAGGAAAGACCGAGTTCTCCTCCGGGAGGGATGAGGAGGGACGGCTGAGGAGAAGGGGCTGCGATGCTCCGAGTCCAGACAGTTCCCCCACCTGCAACCCCAGTCATCTCAGACTCTCAGGAGCCTGATTATCTCCCCATAACCCACAGGCAAATCTTGGCGCCCAGCAGAGAGGCTCCTTATCTCCCTAGGGCTGGGGGGGGGCGTGTTGGGACACAGATGTGCATATACAGGCTTGTGCAACACACAAATAGAAATACTCACTGTGTGTCAGGTGCCAGCGTCTTATCTAGTCCCCAGAACAGCGCTAGGAGGCGGGTGCTGTGATTATCCCCACCTTACAGATAAAGAAACTGAGGCACGAAGAGTTGAAGTAGCTTGTCCACGGCCACACAGATGGGAAGAAATGAGACCGGAATCCGAGCCTGGACAGTTGGCTCCAGAGCCCGAGCTGTTGACCCCTACACAAGAATCTTCCCCGCAAATGGCCACACAAACCCCTGTGTACTTATGAGCACATCACATGCACACACATGTGCACGTGAAGCCACGCTCTCACTCATGCCCCCACGTGTACATGCAACAAGCACATGGACACAGGCCCCCACGTAGAGGAGACTCATCACGCGTGGTCATGTGGACTCCCCCGCTCACTCACACATGCTCTTCAAGCAGGTTCCCACCCAGGCCTGCGCGTCCCTGTTCACACGTTTGCATAGAGCGCGTGCAGCATCCCCATCCAACGCAGTTCACACAAGCACAGGTATACGCACGTTGTCATGTAAGCACCGGCACGTGTGTGGACACGTGCACACTTGCATAGGAGCACATCTTCATGGCCACTCACTGTGTGCCAGGCACTGTGCTGGGGATACGGCAGAGAGGAAGAAGAGAGCTCCCACGCTCCCGGGCGTGTAATCTAGCAGGGCACATGCATGCAGAGACACACACGGACAATGGTCCTGTCAGACAGACGGGTCCTGGTTATCGAGCTGAGCCCGCCCGTGCATTAGAGTCCCTGCGAGCACCGTCCCCCCGTGCAGACGGGCACACACCTCCCCATCTGCAGGAGCCTCAGAATACAGCCTGGGTCTTGGCGGGGGGCGGGGGTCAGGGGACAGAGATCAGTGCCATTTCCAGCACCCCCGTAGTCTGAGGGTCCCCGAGCCTCCGTCAACCCGGAGCCCAGACCACGATCTAAGTGACACACGCCACATGCATTTACAGACATATGCACACTCCCACGTATGCTCGTGTGTGTGCAAGCCCCCCAGTTCTCCCCCAGGCCTCCCGGGGCCTCCCACCCCGTCAAGAGCCCCTGCCCCGATGTCCCCAGCTGCCTCCTCTTCCCCCATCTTGCATTCTAAGGAGCCAGGGCCCAGAGACACCTGGGTCTTCCAAGAGGCTGCACGCACAGGGAGGAAGGGCTACAATGACTTGGCTTCCAGGCAGCTGTGGTGAGTTTCTGCAAAGACTCCCTTCCTCAAAGAGGCTCCTCTTTACCGAAAGTTCAGGCTGCCGTGGTTTCCCTGCATTCACATGGGCGAAAGGTCAAACTCGCAAAAATATTTACCAAGAACTGTCTGTCAGTCAGTCAACAAGCATTTACTGACAGCTGCAGTTTGCACCCTGGGCTGGGCGCAGCAGGGAAAAGACAAGAATAAGCTCAAGCCTTGTCCTACAAAAGACCACGGGCCATGAGGGAGCTGTGGTTAGCATGGGGTGGGGGGTGGGGTGTGTCCAGGCAGAGAGAGCTGCATGCACAAAACCTGGTGATGGGAAAGCATGCCCCGGTCAGACCAAAACAAGCATTCTTGTGGCCCCCAAATCACAGCTGGTGGTGTGCTGGTAAGCCAAGAATCAAACAACAAAAAACAAAAACCTTATATGTGGTGTTTGCTGCTTTCTGGGTGTTAGTACTCCCGCCACGGCCAATTTCAAGCTACCAACGCAATGTCACGGCGCGCAGAGCTGAGAAAGACGCACACGTCGGCTCTCCAGAGCTGGTGCAGACCGGCCTCAGCACACCACTGATACATGACCCTCTCTTCCCAGGGACACACAGAGGACGGAGCCAGAGCCTTGGTGCCCAGGGCAGCGCAAGAGTCCCAGGTAGAAGGGCCAGGGACGAGAACAAAACACTGTTCATCCTTCAATGCATGTTCTGATTGTGCCTTCATTAACTCAGCACCCCCCTGTGCTGGACACCGGGCACCTCGAGGTGTCTCAGACCACTGCCGCCTGTGCTGATGGGGAAGCACAGGTGCTGAGGAGCCCAGGGTAAGGGCACCTAACCAAGGCCTGCAGAACCAGAGGACTTCCTGGAGGAGGTGGCATCTAAGCTAAAATGTAATGGAGTGAGGCAGTGAGTAAGGGGTAGAAAACAGCTATTTCTAAGCAGAGGAAATAGCATGTGCGACGGTTAGCGATCTCATGCACTTCTTGGTTAGCCCAGAAAAAGCAACCTGTTTACCGGACTTCTTCAATGAGCTTGAATGAGCCAGCAATGTTGAGTGCTGTACCAGTCTTCACACTTAATGCTCAGGTGACCCTTGCTGTTTTCAACCCATCACACAGATGGGACAACCGAGACTGGGAGAATTCAGTCAACATGCCCACAATCGCTGGTTCACTCTGCCTCCCCATTATGCCACCTCTAAGCATCTGAAATGGGTGCGGCTTGGGGAAATTTTAGGGGGTACCCAGACACAGCAACCAGCTGTAGGTTTAGTTTTGGGTTTAATTAAATGTCAGAGTGTGGGAAGTGATCAGTTCAGCTAATGCATATTCCCCCACGCCTCTTCACACAGAAGCAAGGCAAGACTATTGTCCTGGTGGAAGCTGTTATCAGTCAATCAGCCAGTCAACAAACATTTGCCGGTATCTTCATGTCTTGGCCCGGCCCAGGGCTGGGATGTTTGAGTGAGCCCTTGCTCACTTTTTGTCTTGTTTTGTTTTATTTTGTTTCTTTTTGCTGAATAGTTCGTCTGAGCCAGGCCCTTGGCTGGGGGCTGGGAGACACAAGAAGAAATAGATTATAGGCCCTGCCTTCCAGGAGTCTAGTGGGAGAGACACAAGAGTGGTGATTTTCTGTATGTTTGAAGTATTCCATCATTAGAAACAAAAAATAAAATGGACAATTACAATAAGTGATAATAAAAGGATGTGCACAAAAGAGAGAACAATTCTGCCCTGTGTTTAGGGAAAGCTTCACAGAGAAATGCCCACTGTAACTGGGCCTTGAAAGGTGATGTTTGATTAGTGGTTGCCAGGGAACGGGGGTTGGGGGGGGATCAGGAGTGACTGGTAATGTGTCAGGGTTTTTTCTGTAGGGGGAAATTGGTAACAGAATTAGATAGAGGTGATAGGTGTACAACATTGTGAATAAACCAAAACCCATTAAATTGTATATTTTAAATGAAAATGGAGAATTTTATGTTATATGAATTCTAGCTCAATAAAAAAAATAAGCTGTTTCAACCAGGAAACTTGTGGTTGCAAGTGACAAAACTAGCTTTTTTAAATGGGTTTACTGGCTCATCAAAAAATTTTTCTTAGTTCAAGAACATAGTTCAGGTATGGATGGATCAAGGTGCTCAAAGGAATTCTTTGGCTTGGAAAGCTCCACCTCTGGGATCTGCTTTCTTCTGTGTTGGCTTCATTATCAAACAGGCTGAGTGAGACTCATTGGTAGCAAAATAAATAAACAAATAAATGGCCCTCAGAAGTCCAGGCTTATAACCTACCAGCTTTGGAAGCACAAAGGAAAGGACAGACCTTTTTTCTAATGGTACCAATGATCATACCGGGAAAGGCTCTCATTGGTCAGTTTGTGTGTGTGTGTCTGTGTGTGTGTGTGTGTGTGAGGAAGATGAGCGCTGAGCTAACATCCATGCCAATCCTCCTCTTTTTGCTGAGGAAGACCGGCTCTGAGCTAACATCTATTGCCAATCCTCCTCCTTTTTTTTTCCCGCCAAAGCCCCAGTAGATAGTTGTATGTCATAGCTGCACATCCTTCTAGTTGCTGTATGTGGGGCGCCGCCTCAGCATGGCCGGAGAAGCGGTGCGTGGGTGCGCGCCCGGGATCCGAACCCGGGCCGCCAGTAGCGGAGCACGTGCTCTTAACCGCTCAGCCATGGGCGGCTCTCACTGGTCAGTTTTAATCACACGCTTGCCCCTGGACCAGTCACTGTATAGACTGGGGAAGGAATGCCAAGCCTGAGTCGGGTGCCCTACAGGAAAGTGGGGCGTGAGATCAGTTCCATGGAGACGGCCTGAAGTAGAAGGAGGGAGAGATTGTCCCCAAGGAAGACCAGGTACTGTTATCAGAAGGAGGAGGGGACGCTGGGCGGGCAGAAGCAGAGTCCCTCTGCAGGAGGATGGAGGAGGCTGATGGAGCAGTTGGGGAGGGCACGCTTGGGAGAAGGGAGGCCACGGTAAAGGCTTGGGGCTTTGCAGATGCGTAGTATGGTCTGGGTACTGTGGCCAGGTCACGGTGGCTAGGGGTGACAGGTCACGGTGGCTAGGGGCGACAGGGCATGGTGTCTAGGGGTAACAGGTCATGGTGTCAAAGGGTGCCAGGTCATGCTGGCTAGAGGTGCCCAGGTATGATTCTGACACCTATTCTGAAGCGTGTGGTTGGTTTTTTTTCCACACCACCAAGCAGTTACCTCAATCCTGACGCTGTCTTCCTGGAGACAGCAGCAGCTCCCACAGGTTAAGGGCTCAGTCCCACAAGACTGTCCCCCCCCAACTTCAGACGCCATTTGCAAGTCCAAGCTGTCACCTGTGCTTCTAACTGGCTGGCTATAGATGGGACGTTCCTACAACCCCTTCCTTCAGTTCGATTAATTTGCTAGAGCAGCTCACAGAACTCAGAGAAACATTTTACTTACTAGATTACTGGTTTGTTATAAAAGGATATCACTCAGGAACAGCCAGATGGAAGAGACGCACAGGGCAAGGTGTGGGGAAGGGGCACGGAGCTTCTGTGCCCTCTCCAGGTGAGCCACTCTCCCAGTACCTCCAAATGTTCACCATCCTGGAAGCTCCCTGAATCCCATCCTTCCGGTGTTTACGGAGGCTTCATTCCACAGGAGGCTTCATTCCACAGGCATGTTGATCAAATCATTGGCCACTGGTGACTGAACTGAACCTCTACCCTTCTCCCTTCCCGAGGTTGAGGGGTAGGACTGGCAGTTCCAACCTTCTCATAACAAGGTTGGTTCCCCTGGCAACCAGCCCCATCCTTAGGTGACCCAGGGGCTTCCCAAAGGTCATCTCATTAACATAACAAAAGAGGCTTATTGCTCTCATCACTTAGGAAATCCCAAGGGTTTTAAGAGCTCTGTGCCAGGAACAAGGAGGAAGATCAAATATATATTTCTTATTATAAATCACAATATCACACTTGGTCATGGATTCTTGGGGTGCCTGGGTCATGGTGTCTAGGGGTGACAGGTCACAGTGTCTAGTGAGTAGTTTGGGCTGAAGAGATGAGCAGGGAGGGAGCCAGGAGCCAGGTTGCAAAGGGTTTGGACTCAGGCCCGTCGACCAGCTTCTCCCAAACTTTCACCTGCGTGCGCACTGCCACAAATCGTTTCTTCTGTATTTACATTTTTTCTCCATCATTAATTTACTTAAATTTTTCCTTTATATTGACTTACTTGTTTTATTTAAGTAACTTTATTTTAAAAAGAAACATTGTCACCATCAGGAATGAAAAAACAGCCTCCTTTATCATGAACAGAAGGGAACTGTAAACACAAAAACAGTGAAACCAAAACCGAGCTCTCAAGCCTGGCCAGACGCTGTCGCCTGTGGAAGGCTGGTCAGAAGAAGAGAAAGACAATTGAAAAAGGAGTTGCTTCTTGGTTTAATGCCCTTTTACACCACACCTGTGTGCCACCTCAAATCACCTTAGGAACCCCAAGGAGTTTGTGTCCCCCACCCGGGTGACCACGGGGGTATGTGTCCTACATTTTTGGCTAACGGGAGCCCAAGGGCGTTGAGACCAAGACCAAGAAGGAGGTGTGAGGAGGACGATGAAGCGCTCAGTTTTGGATACAGTGAGTCTGAGATGTGGGGACATCCATGTGGAGAGCCATTCATTTGTTCAGAAAGTACTTATTGAGCACCTACTGGGTACCACATACTGTTGTAAGGCCCTGGGATACAGCAGTGACCCAACTAACCAAAAATCTCTGTCCCCATGGAGCCTACCTTCTAGAGGGGGAGATGTGGGAGATTTGATGAGAAATAAAGGAGTTAATAATATACACAATAAATCATAATATGTGTCACATTAGGTAGTGATGTGTACCAGCTAAGACATGTGACGTGTCTGGGTGGAGATGTGGAGATGGAGATAGATACATGGGCCTGGAGTGCAGGCAAGAGATCAGGGCTGGGGAGATATATTTAGAAGACATCATTCATTCATTCAACAAACATTCATTGAGCACACTCGATGTGCCACCCACTGTGCTGGGTGCTGGGCGACACCCCTGCCTCATGAAACTCCAGCCTAGATTCAGTAAAGGCTGTAGTCAACTCTGATGAAATGGATGAGATTGCACGTGGAGTGTGTGTGTGTGTAGGGCTGGGGATGGGCCCCGAGGCCCCCCAATATTTAAGGGAGGGCGAGGAGAAACCCTAGGAAAGGAGCCTGCGCAGGCGCAAGCAGCAGCCGCAGGAGAACCAGGAGAGGCGGAGGTGTCAGAACACGGAGAGGCTGGGGCTGCAGCCACATACAGCCTGAAACAGACCCGACTTGGGGACTGGTGTCCCCAAGAGCCCTTTCATGGCAGCAGTGCAGGCAGCTTCTGCACAGAGAGGGTT